TGACAGGATGCAGTAAAGGTAAGACCGAATGGAAATACGTGGCCCAGGTGGTGAGAGCAGTTATTATGAAGATAATCTGGGACGACAGAAATAATCAGCTGTTTCGAAGTCAGTGTATGTCGGATGTACAGATTAAGAAAAGAATCACGGCAGACTTGCAATTCGGAAGGATTATCACCTGTGATTGGATTCGACGAACATCTCGCGGCGTCAATCAAAATCAAATGAAGCGGTTCAAGAAGACTTGGGGGAGGAACTCCAGTTTGGCAATTATGGTGGATGACGGCGGGAAGCTGTCCTTTTGCTCTTGGTTATTGACCACGATAGGTCATCATGATGGGGAACGTTTTAGTTCCCCACCCTGAGTAGGAAGCTTCTTTTGTCAGATTTGAGGTCGTTACTCTCCCAGGTTTCTTTCTTTGATCACGTCCACCGCTAGGGGATAAGAGTTGTCTTTTTTGGTGTTGGTCGCAGGTGGACGTGACAGGGAGCTCAAGGGCAAGCCCGGGTGACCCAGAGCTCCCACTCTTTTTTCATGAGCTTAAGGCTTTCATTTTTTGGAGAAGTACTAAGTTGCAGGACAAGTATGGGGATGCTGGACCTGGTTTCCAGCACTGAGCAGATTCTTTGTTCAGATGCTCAGGTGCTTACAAATCCATTCATGAAAGGGAAGCTGGACCCGGTTTCCAGCAGGTGCAGCTCCCCACCAATAGACGGAGCCTCCCTGAGGATACTAGAGGTGTCTGCTCCTACCAGCACCCCTAGTATCATCCAGGCAGTTACCGTAAAAAAAAAAAGAAAAAAGAAAAAAAAAAAGAAGGGTAATGGCCCCAGCTTCCGGGTAGAATTGTGAGGTCCCCGGCCTCAACTTGCTCATTGGTAATAAAGTATTCTTTTCTCCAAAAAAAAAGAAAATGATCTCCCTCCCGGGGCCAAGTCGCAGTGACATGAAATCTCGACTTCTGACCGTAGATTCGAAAGATCAACGGCCCGAAATGAAGAATCAGCGTAAGTGGGACTTGGCCCCGGGTCCAGCGTCCCATTATACCTGAAAGGCTCAGAATGCTCAGAAAAAAAAAAAAAGAAAAAAAAAAAGGTTAGGGTGTACCTACTGAGCTAACCAAGCCTTCCCTGTCTTCCTTCGGGTATCCATTTCACAGCGAAGACAGGGCCTGAAGAGGACAGAGAGAAGTCCGCCGCACTTCCAGAGCCAATATTTTTTTATTTTTTTTTAAAAACGATAACTTCCTTTATAAAACCAGGACCGAGGCCGGGGACCTCACAATTCGACCCGGAAGTACTGACAGCATCAGCCAGCTTAGCTTACGGGCAGCAGCCTGCAGAAAGTCTTCTCTACTGACTTTCCAACTAAATAGAGTCAATCCGATGTAGGTATCCCTAATATTCGCTTGATTCAAAGACCAGTTCATATGAAATATTCTATGACAACGCCATCGAGAATAATCTAAAACAGCTACCTGCTCCTATTCTCCTATCCTCCTACACCTGGGACTAAGACGGCCCAGTGGACTGGACCTCCCGGTCTTGGTCCGGAATCTATTGACACTCTCCTAAAGGCCCACCACGGCCCTATAACCAACCGAGTGCCCTAGTTGGAATGATACCCTCTAGGGGGGGGAGACCGCCCTCCCATCTGAAGCTACCACCTCTAATCCTCACGACTTAAGAAGCCATTCAGTCACAATCAATCCCCTGGAGCTGTGCACCCCAGCCAGCTGGTTTCCTATTGCCCACGTCCTAAGGAACCACCACAGTTCCCTCCTGGGGGCTTTGCCCTTCCTCTCCCTCCTACTCCAATCTACCAAAATGGCCTGACTGATGCCTTTCTTGATTGCCACCTTGAGTTCAGTATCCGAGAACGGGCGGAGTTCGAACCTTGACCTGTTCCTATCTGCCCAAATCACCGAGCAGATGACCGCCCTTACCACCTGAGCTACGTAGGGCCAACCCCTTTTTCCTGTGTGCCCCTCCGGCGTAAAACCTAGTAAAACCCATCTTTCGTCCCAGGTGATCAGTGCCCCTCCCAACTGTTCCCAGTGCTGTCCCCACCACTTCCAGATCCTCTTGGATGCTGGACAGTCCCACCACAAGTGTTTGGTGGATTTGAACGGCCAGGTGCATCTTGTGCACCCTAGGTTGACCTTCACTCCTCTCGCAACCAGCCATACCGCTGAGGGGGTGACCAGTAACGACAGCATCCAGAGGATAGCCGCCTTCTTAGGGTAGGGCAGCTCTTGTAAGACTCCCCAGAGTCTTCTGAAATCTTCCGCAGCGCCCTCCAGGTCATCCAGAAGTACAGCGCTCCATCTGCTAATAGCGACAGATGTGGGGGAGCGCTGGCAGTCTTCCGACAACTTGTAGGAGTCTCCCACAGAGATGTTGGATAGATCCAAAACTGTGGATGGGGGGATTGCAATTTTGCTCCCATTCCAACCCCAGGCCAAGGGGTCAATTGCCAGCTCCCTGAGAGGACATTTTCCAACCCATTGAGTCTTAACGAGATCCCCCCTGCCATTCTTCCACTCGATTACCCTTGCCTGGGGAGGATTATCCCATCTCAGTATCACCTCTTCCCCTCTCAGATGCAGAGAAACATTCTGCCTCGAGTCCTCCCACACTTGAACCTTTCTGAACCCGGATGTCGTAAGCTCCAGCACTTTCCAAACTTCCCGTCCAGTCCCCCGTTTCTGGGCAGTACCAGGTGTTCATCGGGTCTAAGCCACCTGGTCCTAGTATAGTCTTCCAGTCCTCCGGGACAGCCGACAGCAGGTTACTCCAGTTCTCCTGCACATTCCTCAAGCCCTGTAGAGTGGGCATAATCTCCTGGAGCAGTAGCCAGGTATTTGTGAGTAGGGACCATAAATCCGCTATCCTAGAAATGCCCCTTCGAACCCAGGCTCTGCCAAAGGTCCCTGGTTCCGTACCCGCAGAGAAGAGGGACCCGTCTGGTTTGCAGATGTGAGGGTTCTCGAACAAGGACTGCAGCAGTACTTCCTCTTTGGTACACGGTGGGGTGCGGGTGTCCGGCGGCAGACGTACCCAAGCTCTCCGAACCGCCTCCCAAAATTCTGACCGAAGCTTTTGCTTCGCGAATGATGGGAGAAAGAAGCAGAGCCACACGTCCTCCGCTCTACTCAGTTTCCACAGCCGCATGAGGATCCGCTCTGCTAGGTACACCCAGTCTTCTTTCTCCTCTGCCATCGCCACCCGGGAGAGCCACATGCGAAGTTGGGCCTTGTTCTTCCGCTCGGGGTCAACCAGGGCTAAGCCCCCCTGTTCTGTTGAAAAGGTTATCAGCTCCCATGCGACTTTGACAATGAAACCCTCGTCCATTTTTGCGATGGGCTTCCAGAGGAATCTGGCAGCCATTCTCTTGATCTCCATGAGGGTAGATTTCAAAATTTCTCTCACTGTGCCAACATACCAAATAAGGGAGAACAGGCTCGACTACGCTTTCTCTCAAGGGCAAAGATTACCCGGTCGCTTTCAAACCTTGGATGACAAAATCGGAATTGAAAGAACTTAAGTTGAAAGAGGCAGAGACCAACTTCTGGATCATGGCACTCAGAGTGCCCCTGGATGCAATGTATTACCTGCCTAGTGCAGTCGAGGGCCTCATAGGGGGGGTCAAGCACATGCACGCTCCAGAAGCAGACAGAAGCCGGCCGAAGTTGATGAACATAAAATTAGACATGGATCCTCAGGCAAGATTCCGTGTAGAGGATACGCTGGTGATAGAGTCTCCAAAAGGGGAGTTGTGGAAAGTGGAAGTTGCGACTCCGTTTTCCGACTGGTGCAGGAAGTGCCGCTGGTACTTCCATACTGAGGAGAACTGCCCCCGTGAGGATAAAGTGGAGCGACCGAGCAGACAGTGGCCTAGACAGCAGAAACCTGCACAGAGAGTGGAAACGGCAGGGTCCTGAAGAAGAGTTGCAGATCAAACGGCAGGGCCTAACTCGCAGGACCAGGCAGCACACCCTGCGTACGAACCTCCCTATAGAAGGTCTCAGAGCTACCCAGCCGTAGGGCTGGCGACTGGTGAACGCTCAGTGCATGGTCCTAGGCCGCCCGACCCGAACTACCCGATACAGGGCTCTGCACAGCCTCAAGGGTTTCAGGATGAGGTTGGTCGTGCGGGAGGTGGAAGCCAGGTTGCAGAGTATCGGCCAGTCCATATGCAATCTGCAGTCCAACAACCAATATTGTATGCACAGCAAGCGGAGCTCGCTCCACCTGTACTCATCCACCATCAGGACCTCGGAGGCCGACAGGGTAACGGTGTGCCAGCGTGTTCGCTCCCTGCTTATTGGCCTGGAAGCGGTCCAGCTCCCCTGCCCCCCCTTCCTCCTTTCCATCCTCAACACCCACTTACCTATGGCCCAAGGGCCCAGGATCCCAACTGTGCCTTGGTTCATCCGGGAGTTGGAATTTGCTACCCAACACCAGTAAGACCGTACTCTCATCATTTTCATTTGCATGCAGAGCATAATAATGGATTGGCCCAGGCTAGTGAGTGGCCCATGCAGGAGCACTCTCACCTGATCAGGGAGAGGGAGAGTCAGGACAGGCAGAACTACGGGAATCACTCAAGGTTAGGAGGGGTTTCACACCCCCAGCTAAGCCTGGCTGAGAGGCATACCAGTAGCAGACCGGGGATGGAGCGTGTGGAGGAATATCAAAGAGAGGGGACAACAAGGGGTGGAGCAAGGGGTGGAGCAAGGGGAGGAGCAAGGGGTGGAGCGCAAGGTGGAGGGACAACACAACTGTCCCTGTCGTCAAGGTCTAGAGTGGGGGTGGGTAGCGAGCTGTTAGGAGACGAGCTGCTGGCGGCAGGCATGAACCCGCTGTTTGAAGAACGGTCAGAATCATCTACAGGTAGTTCGGGTGCTTCTCGCAGATAGCATGCAGCTGTCTCAGGTACAGGTAGTAGGAATGCGGTTCACGCGGATGGTGGGATAGGGTGCAAATCTAAGCGATACGATGGACAACTACCGATTGAAAGAAGAATTGTGCCATTGGTGTGCTCAAAAGCGAGAGATGGTATCTTCTTCCTAGGGAGGTTTGATGCTGAGGGGAGGCAACATCTCCCTTCAGAGATAATTGAGAAGTCGCCAACCCCACTGGAGGTGGTGGCACGTGCCAAGAGGCTGTTCGGGGATGCTTTCCCAATGCGACTAGTCCCGAGGTCAACGATGGCTAGTGTTTTGGTTGCGCTGCAGGAAAAGGTCTACAAGTTCTACTTTTCGATCATGGATGCTCGAGTAGACCCCAGCACTGCGGATGCTCTCTCGGGGGCAGGCGTCAGATGGTTCCTCCTGGATGCAGTGAGGGAACGGAACAGCCAGGAGCTGGAGGAGATTTCTATCACATCAGAGGTTTCTGCCCTCCTTCTTTTGAACTTGAACGAGAAGCTGCTAGAGAAGGAGAATCTACACTCTAACTTCCTTGCCAGTGCCCTAGTGGAACCTTGGAGAACAGCATCTCAGTCGTCTCAGTCACAGTCGTCGAGAGGAAGTTCGATGATCAGATCCCCCGCAGTTGCACAAGGGAGATGGGCTGATGAAGTCCATGAATCTAACCGCATCCAAAATCAGGCGGTAAACTTAAATGTCAATGGTTAGGTGGAGAGTTGCAACATGGAATGTCAGGGGAATGGGGGACACAACGGGGAGAGAGAAGAAGAAGAGAATTAAGTCATGGATGCATAAGGAGAAGGTGGATTGTCTCTGCCTGCAAGAGACAAAACTGAATGAGGAAAGATTAGCAGATTTGCCTTCCTGGTGGAGGGGTCCCCAGGTGTGGTCACCAGTGCAGGGAACAAGAGGTGGGGTAGCGATACTACTGCACAAGAAGTGGTTACCGCACGTTATAGATTCGGAGGCAGACCTTTGGGGCCGTTGGGTGTGGCTGAGGTTGAGATGGGGGCAAAAGGATCTTGTGATCATGGGTATCTACGCCCCATCGGAGCCGAGTGGGCAGGCCACCTTCTTCAAGAGGCTGCAGATGGTAATTCCAGAGGCAGATAGTCTGCTGGTGGCAGGAGACTGGAATGTGTCATTAGACGATGCAATGACTGAAGGCTCCTCTTCAGCAGGGAGATCAGATGCGGTAGCACTCCTTGACCTCTTGAGGAACCAGGATCTTGCTGACCCCTTCCGCATGCTGAACCCCGATGATCTGGGTTACACATGGTTCTCTCATATCAGGAGGGACAAAGGAGAGGTGACTAGAGCGGTTGGATTACTTCCTAGCAGGGAAGTCCCTGTCCCAGAAGGTCCTTTCTGTGAACCACCTTGCTCACCCAATTTCTGATCACAAAGCAGTGGTGCTGGACGTACTTCTGGATACGGGCTTTGAGAGAGGGAGGGGTCACTTCAAGTTCAATAACTGGAACTTGGAGGAACAAGAAGTGGAGGACTGGGTGAAGGAGCACATGAGAGACTGGCAGTCGGTGAGGGAACTCTTCCCCTCATCAGTGGACTGGCTTGATGGGGGCGTGGCAATTATCTCAGGGATAATGGACGTCTGTTCCCGGATCCTGGCCAGGGACCGCAACAGGGAGGAGGCGGACTGTAAGAAGGCAGTAGAACGGGCGGAATGGAAGATGGAGCAACATCCGGTCTCTGAGCTTTTGTGGGCGGCCGAAAGAGAGAGAAGCTTGGCAAAGTGGGACAAGCTCCAGTTGGAAAAGCATCAAAGGTGGGAAGAGGCACTGCGAGTGAAGGGAGTGATAGTGCAAGACAGGCTCACAAAGGACACTTTTCAGAGGTTACTGCCCAACAGAGATTACCAACAAGTGGTTCAACTGAACCATCCGTTTGACGAGAGGGCGGTCCCGGTATCAGACCCGGGAGGAATGCTGGAGTACGCCCGCCTATACTACGCGGACGTTTTGAGCACCAGGCGTACACATGACACAGTCCACTCAGATCTATCTCAAGAGATTGATATGTGGGCAGACACAGCGGTGGTGTTGACGAATGAGGAAAGGCTCTCCTTGGACAGGCCAATAACGATGGAGGAGGGCCAACAGACCTTAAGGGTAATGGCGTCCGGTAAATGCCCTGGGGTAGATGGACTGACGGTGGAATTTTACCGCAAATTCTGGAATACGGTAGGACGTCCGCTAGTAGAAGTTTACAATGACGTCCTCACAGGGGGTAGGCTGGGCAAGGGGATGACGCATGGGGTTATCTCGCTGATGTTCAAGAAGGGTGACAAAGCCAATGTCCGAAACTACCGTCCTATCTCGGTGCTCAATGTGGACTACAAGATTCTAGCCAAGACGCTGGCGCTGAGACTGGGGAGGCTGCTAGCAAGTCTGGTGGAGAGGGACCAGGGTGATTTTGTGCAGGGAAGGTCTATATTTGTTAATATTCTTACGGCTATCGAGTTTGAGGTTGTGCAAGCCAAGAATAGAGAAGTTGCAGTACTTTTGCTAGACTTGGAAAAAGTCTATGATCGTGTGGGATGGGCATTCGTTCTGGCGACACTAAGGAAAATGGGTTTTGGTGAGGGTTTTTGCAGATGGGTGATTGCAATGTATACGCTGTCAACCTCAGCAGTTTTCGTCAATGGCCACCTGTCTCAATCGTTCCAGCTGTCCCGTTCACTACGTCAGGGTTGCCCCCCCGCCCCACTCCTCTTTGTGCTCCAGTTGGAGGTCCCCCTGAACTGCATCAGGAAGCACCAGAGCATTAGAGGCATTCAGATTTCGACAAACAAGGATTGCAGGGTGAAAGCCCTAGCGGATGACCTGTTTATGGTATCCGAGAATTCCAAGTCATCCCTAGAGGCGATCAAGACAATCCTCATGAACTACTCACAGTTGTCTGAAGCGCTCGTCAATTGGAACAAATCTGCTTACATTCTCCCTACACAATACTCACTGCAAGTGGAATGGGGAATGCAGCGAGTGGACTCTAAGGCAGGGGAGCGATTCTTGGGAGTATTGGTGAGCCTACAGATCATGGAAAGTGCACAGGGACTGGTCCTGCAGCAAAGGTTGATGACCAAGCTCAGGGTCTGGGGCTCAGCGTGGCACCTCTCCCTGTTTGGGAGAGCGTTGGTAATCAACGTGGCCCTGTTCTCCCTTATTTGGTATGTTGGCACAGTGAGCCAAGATTTATGAAGTGGACGGAACTTGTGAGCTTACCTCTACCTTTTTTCTTGAGGATTCTTTTTGGGGGAAACTACGTCGCAAAAACGAGTTATAATTGCACAAGGGGCCAAGATACAGTTTCGAATTGCAGTTCGGGCACTGTATACAACCCAGCTTTCTGTCCAGGTAGGGTGCCCGAACTGCAATTGCAAACTGTATCTTGCCCCCTAGTGCAATTATATACAGTGCCCGAACTGCAATTGCAAACTGTATCTTGGCCCCTTGTGCAATTATAACTCGTTTTTGCGACTCTACTGAAGTTACCCCTTTTTTGTTTCTGTTTTTTTTTACTTGATGATTCTTTTTTTTTTTTTTTTTTTTTTTTTACTTGATGATTCTAACTCAAATGGTTCAATGTTTTTTTTGAGTTGAGCCTTTGGGCGAGGTCCCACTAGCAAGAGCAAACGGGATTGGATAAATATCCTGAAGACATACAGAAAAGCAATTCAACCTCGACATTCTGCACCTTTCCACAAACACGTCCAGATTCAGGTCTTCAATCCAATCCTCTTTGCTAGTGGGACCTTGCCCCTTGTTCTCGGAAGGGGGGAGCTGTGTGAGGCGGAGTCAATTCTCCGGCATGTCGTGGTCTTCTGCCTACCGACATTTGTTCTGGGCGCAGATTCTGAGTGCTGCCATTTTCTGACGTGCAGCCTGTGCAGATGTGCGCAGCAGCGGGTGTCCGTGGTTTGCTGCTGTTCCTGCTCAGCACGGCTGAGTGATTTTTTTATTATTATTATTATTATTTTTTTATGGGATGGGCTGTGTGACAGATACGCACTCTGTTTAATCATGGCTGGCTGTTCTCGTAGGCTATTTGTCGCTGGGTTTCTGACAACAGTTCTCTTTTTTTTTTTTTTTTTTTTTTTTCAAAGATGACAACAGTATACGTACGCCAGTTCCACAGTGTCTGTCCCCGAATGGCTGATGAGGAGCAGTGCAGAGCTCTACAGTCTTCCCCCAAATACGACGTACGGTCATTATAGCTGAATCCAGTCCGAAAGATACACCACATTCGGCAATAATGACCGTGCGTTGTATTCGGGGGAAGACTGTAGATTGAGGAGTGCTGCGACTGCTCAGCTCTATATATCCACCCTGTTGCATTCTGAGGGCTGGCGATTAGGCTTTCCCGCTGGTCTCATTCAGCTGGGGGGCGCTGTTCCGGACACCCCCTTTGACACCAATTTCAGTTGCAGCAGGTTTCGAGCTCATGACCTCTTCATCATCAGTGAGCGAGGGCCATATATCGGGGTATCTCCGGACAGGCAGTGTTTTTTTTTTGTTTTTTTTTTTGAAAGATGTTTGTTTGATTGCCAATCCTGAAAGAACGGGGCCGGGGTCCCCACAATTCAACCCGGTTAGTCACCTCTGGCAGCTTTAGCCAGCTTCGCTTTTGACGGGACTAGTAAGACCCGAGAAACATCTGAAATGAATTATTTAGGTGTCCTAAGAGCTCTTCAGTATCTACATTAACTTGAAGCTCAGCGTAAAGAGCTTCCATTAGCTTGAATGGATGCGAATGGATTCTAACTACAGTCTTCCCCCGAATACAACGCACGGTCATTATAGCTGAATTTGGTGTATCTTTCAGTCTAAATTCGGCTATAATGACCGTACGTTGTATTCGGGGGAAGACTGTAGTAATGCGAATTGTGGATGAATTAGAGTTTTCAAGGTTCGAGTTTTATAAGCTAAACCACTGCCGGGATAACTCCGGGTTGAATTGTTTTTTTTTTCTTTTTCTTTTTTGGGAAAACCGGGTTGAATTGTGAGGTCCCCGGCCTCTCTTTACTACTTGCAATATATGAAACAGTTTTAATATTAAAAAAAAAAAAAAAAAAAAAAAAGAAGCTCAGCGTAAAAGGTGTTCCATAATCTAGCTTATAGTCTCCTGGAGAGAGGTCCCACTAGCAAAGAGGATTGGATTAAGCTCCTGAATGAATCTCTGGACGTGTTTTAAGCAGAGATGCAGAAAAGCAGTTCAATCTCGACTCTCTGCACCCTTTCCACAAGCACGTCCAGATTCAGGGGCTCCATCCCATCCTCTTTGCTAATGGGACCTCCGCCCCGGACTATCTGCTAAGGAACAGATGCTACCAGATTTAACTGGAAACGGGGTCCAGCATCCTATTCCCTTTTTTTTTTTTTTTTTTTTTTTTGAGGAAAATTAGGAACTTTCTTTTGACAGATTAATCTCAGAGTCATGTCTTCCCAGTGGTCTCATCTGACCATTAATCCTTGTGTTTTCCTGGAAGCAGTTCTCTCATTTATTTCATCTTTCTTGGTAGTACGCATCTATCTCATCCTCTCACTAGTGTACGTATACTACGAGGAAGTGGTCCCACTAGCAAAGAGGATATAATAGAATGCCTGAATCTGGACGAAGTTATGGAGATGTGCAGGGAATAGAGGTTGCACTGTTTTTCTGCATCTCTGCATAAAACCCATCCAGATTCAGGAGCTCTATCCTATCCTTTTTGAAAGTGGGACCTCCCGGGGGCCGGGGGAACACCAACCAACCCGGATCTCTCCTCAACCTACAGGGTGGGTTGGCACCACAGCTGTGGTCCCAGAGCAAGGCTGTACCAGTACCAGTCCCTCATCACGTGACGAGGGGTGGGCGAGGGGTGGGCAGGCATGTAGCGAGTAGTGGAGCGAGGCCTACGTCCCTACGTCTGCCGCACCAGAGATAAGTACAAGGATCCAATTCAGCTGGATTTTCAAATTGCCACGTCATCATATCAAGGATAACAACGGGAAAAAAGGGGAAAAAAAGAAAAAAAAAAGGCGGAGCAGCTCGTTGGGGAGGAGGATGAAGGATAGGGGGCCAAGTCCCACTAGCAGCGTTGAGCTACCTCAACGCCTGAATCTGGACGTGTTTGTGGAGACGTGCAGTTCAGGAAACTCAACACCATTTCTGCACATCTCCGCAAAAGCGTCCAGATTCAGGCGTTGAGGTAGCTCAACGCTGCTAGTGGGACTTGGCCCGGGTGAGGGGGAGGGGGTGGCGAGAGAGGAAGAGAGGAGGAGCCCGAGCGGCAGAAACGGGGACGGCGATAGAGATGAGGAAAGAAGGAACAGGAAATGCAGACAAACAGAATGATCCTCTCATTGAGCTCATAAGCATACTACCTGTAGGGCTTTTTTGACTGAACGGCGGGGGTAATTGCGGTCGTATACATTCAGCTGTGATGCCTCCAGGAAAGTCCTGGGGCGTGGTCCCACTAAGCAAAGAGGATGGGATGGAATGCCTAAATCTGGACGAGGTTATGGAGATGTGCAGGAAATCGAGATTGAACTGCTTTTCTGCATCTGTGCGTAAAACACATCCAGATTCAGGAGCTCGATACTATCCTTCTTGCTGGTGGGACCTCGGCCCTTGTGTGAGTATGCCCTCAGACCAACTTTCCTTTGTCGGATAAAAGCACCCGTTTCCTCCTCTTTTTCTTCTTCTTTTTTTTTTTTTTTTTTTTTGTTGTTGTTGTTGTTGTTGTTGTTGTTGTTTTCTCGATTCCATGACCCCCTCCATATCACGAGAGGAGGGATTCACACTCGCTCGCGCAGAGGGCGCCCGCGCGCCCGCGCTCCCGCGTGTACGCGCACTCGCGCAAGAGCGAAAAAGAAAGAAAGAAAGAGAGAGAGAGAGAGAGAGAGAGAGAGAGAGAGAGAGAGAGAGAGAGAGAGAGAGAGAGAGAAATCAATTCTTTTTCCTTTTTGAAGGAAGGGGTCCGCAATAAGCTTGCTCTTACGTGCTGACCGCTTATGCCACCATGGCATGTAATGCTTGATCGAGACCCAACAGGAAAGCCCTTTCTTTTTTTTTTTGAAAAATTTGGACCAATTTCTCGATTTATGCGTGTGCCATGCTAATTACCCTTCTGTGTGTCTGGACCCGGTTTCCAGCAAGGTTCTTGGAGAGGTCCCCGGCCTCCGCCATCCTTTTGCTTGGAATATAAAGTGACAACTTCTCAAAAGAAAAAAGAAAAAAAAA